GTAGAAGAGGAAACGCCATACACATACGCTTTTAGAGCTCCGTGCGGAGTTCTTGGATCTGCGTTGGACCCTGGCGCCGGAGGCGCCGCCAGGGTGTCTCGGGCGCCGATCCAAGAAATCCGTGCGGGGCGAACTTCATGTTTATGCTGTTTTTCTTCGATTCTCAGAAGGTTCGGAAGTCCCCCGGCCTTCTGAGGAGTGTTCCACGCCTTCCCCGAAAATAAAAAACAAAACTTATGAGAAGGCGCGAGGGCTTCTGAGGGGTCCCGCCGCCTTCTGAAACAGCCTTCTCCTTCTCACTTCCCCCCCTCGCCCGCCGCTGGGATTGAGGAGCCGAGGATGCCAGCCTTCTTCCTTTCTTTCTTCCGCACACTGCCGCTTATCCGACCGGGCGCGTGAAAGGGTACTATGAGGAGGAGGAGGAGGAGGAGGAGGAGGAGGAGGAGGAGGAGGAGGAGGGATGTGCAGTTCCCGTCGCGACGCCACGGTGGGCTCACAGTGACACTGGGGGCCTTTTGCCTGGGTCCGGGCCTCGTGCCCTATGGGCACCCAGAGCGTGTTGCACAAGGTGCATGGCTGAGCTCCCAGCCCGGGCTGCTGCATGTCCTGGGCCCGACGCTGCCTTCTCTACTTCAGAGCGTGAATTACCTCCCCCGCTTTCGCTTCCAGGCAAAACCAAGCCATACCACGCGCCTCCTCGTCAAGCGGCCTGACCAGTACAGGCCGCAATTTGGCATCGTTTGGTATCTCTTGGAAGCGAGGGTGGTCAAAAGCGAAGTAGGTTTGTTTTCCCCCGACTACTATCGCGAAGAACCCGAGACGCCACAGCAATTTCAATGCCTGCGATGATGGAGACTTGCTGATCTTTGCCTGTTCGTCATGCGGGTGCATCTGCCCGGGTCGGGCAGCATTCGTGCTCTCAGGGGAGTGCAAAGATGTTGCTGCTGGTGCTGTAACTGGCGCTGGTGGTGCCGGTTACAGCACCAGCAGCAACATCTTGTCAAATAAAGCCCCCAAGGATTGCACTCTGGCGAGCGGCGGGCAGTGTCTCGTCAGATGCTCCCCCCAGGACTGTAATCTGCTCTGGTGGTTGTCCCCAGCGCAGACGCCGCCAGAGAAGACCACGGCACGAATGGATCCCGGGCCCCGAGGGGGTCCACCCGCCCAGCCCGTGTCCCGCGCGGGCCCCAGCCCCCGGGGGGGCCCCTCGGGACCGGATTCGGCCCCAAACTTCTCCCCATAGGGCACTCCCCCCAGGGGCCAGACAGAGCGTGGGGCGGCTTGCGGGGGCACCGCCTCTCTCCGCCCTGGATCGGGCACGCGCGGGCCAACGCCCCCACGGGGTCCCCCAAGAGCAAGACTTGGCCCACGTCTGGTCCTGAGGCCCGTCCCCCCCGCGCAGGGCCAGAGGCGGGGGCGGTGTCCTTTCTTGTCTCCGACCTGCCTCGGGCCTGCGCGGGCCCCAGCTCCTCGAGAACTCGTCGGGACGCTTCCGACGCCCGCGCGTTACAGGAACCGCGGTAGCCACGGGGGGTGCGGCTCGAAGAATGGGGGCTGCGGCTTGCGCATTATATGCGCTGCGACTCGATCGTGGTTTGTTGGTTGGGGTTGGTTGGTGGATGCATTGTCTTGCATTGTCTTCTCGGCATCAGTGCCACAGCGTCGACGGAAGGCAAAGCGTCTCTACACAGTAGTGTTTTTGCTCGAACTCGCTGAGCAAGCAAGGACACAGCCAAGGTAGCAGAGTCTTGGCCGAACATAAAATCATCGTCGCCAGAACATGTGTGTTGCCCATTCCCCCGGATTGAGCCCTCCCCGGACCAGGTCACCCGCAGGAGCAAGAAGCCAGGGCGGCTCTTCGGACACTGAGGAACGCCCATCTCGCCGTGGCTTCTCATGGCGTGTCCGAAACCTCATGGGGCTTCGGCTTCTAGTGGCATTCGGTTTCGGCCATCCTTGTTACTTTAGGGATCTGGCCCGCTGCCGTCCAACTGCCAGCTTTTGGGGTGGCGGGCTCTCCCGTAAGCTGCCAAAAGATCTCCAGTATTTCACCGATGACCACTTCATCTCTAATAGATGGGTTTACGTACCCTTGAAGCCTATAGCGAGTTCGGTTATCCTCAGCCCCTCATCGCCCTCCATCGTCCTCTCCGTCCTCTCAAATCCTGTTGTGCCCTCCATCTCCACCCTCCCCTCCCCTCCCCCTCCCCCTCCCCCTCCTCCTCCTCCTCTTCGTCCTCCTCCTCCTTCTCCTCCTCTTCCTCCTCCTCCTCCTCCTCCTCGTCCTCCACCTCCTCCTCCTCCTCTCCCATCCACCTCCTCCTTTGCAGTCCTCCCTCCTCCTCATTCTCCTCCACCTTCCTCGTCTTTATCCGCCCTATGTTTCTCCCTGCTGCTGTTGCACCTCCTCCTCCTACAGCTACGCACCGTCCTCCCTCCTGCTCGCCCGCGACGAGGTCGAGGATGCCCACACAGCCCCTCACGCGTGCCTCCGCGCGCC